GGGGGAGGGGAGAGAGAGGGAGGGGGAGTGTGAGGAGGGGGAGAGAGGCCGGAGAGTGTGAGGAGGGGGAGGGAGGGGGAGTGTGAGGAGCGGGGAGAGGGAGGGGGAGAGAGGGAGGGGGAAAGAGGGACGGGGAGAGAGGGAGGCGGAGTGTGAGGATGAAAGTGTGAGTAATAGGAGGAGGGGGAGGAGGGGGAGTGGGGAAGGGGGGGTGAGGCGAGGACTGCGTGGCCCCACCTGAAGATGCCTCCCTCGTACGGCGACCCGGCCGGCCCCTGGATGATGACTGAAAAGTAGCGCAAGTTGTCCGAGTATGGTGTCGCGCTGATGCCGGGCGCTGCGGCGGAATCGGCAAGGGTGAGGGGGGGGTGCGGGAGAGGGAGAGGGTAGGGGTAGGGCTGGGGATGGGGGTGTTGGTGAGGGTGAGGGTGAGGGCGAGGGTGGGGGTGAGGGAGAGAGGGCGAGGGGTGAGGGAGAGGGTGAGGAGACTGGTGGTGTGACAGCGCGGGAGCGTCCGGCGTTGTATGAGCAAATTGCCGTGGGCGGGTGGGAGGCGCGCCTGGCTCAGAGAGCAGGCGCTGCGTCTCCTTGACGATCCGTCGAGGCAGGAGCGATTGGTCCGCCATGGCGTATCTGCTCGAGGCACGGAAAAGGTCGGCGCGCGCGCGCGGCGGGCGTCATCGGGCGGCTGGGGGTGGAGGGAACGGCGGGGGCGGGGGACGGTGCGGGCGGCGCTGGGGCGGCGGACGGCGCGGGGATCTGGGGAGAGAACGGGCACGGCACGGCGCGCGAGAGGGCACATCGAGAAGACGTCTGGAATGGAAACGGCGGACGTGGCCTTGCGCCGGACGGAGACGCTGGCGCTGGAGCGGGCGTGGAGAGGCGGCGCGGGCGGAGGAGCGGCGGCTCGGTTTAGGGCAGGGGAGGGGGGGCAGGGAGGGTGGTGTGCGGAGAGAGCGGAAGCGCCTTGGCTCACGGCTTGTTGGCGAGCTTGTTGGTCAGGGGGCCGGCGCTCTGAAAAAAAGAAACACGCCGCCGGCCTCCGCCGCCTCCACCGCCGCTCCCTCGCCAGATACGCCGCCGCCGACCCGCCTCCTCGAACTCCTCGTACGCGCCCTCTCTCGCTGCGACCCCGCCGACATCGCTCGCGTCGCGGCCGTGTTGAGACTCGCTGCTCTTTCAGAGTTTGTAGGTATATTGTTGGCAAATCAAGACACAGAGCTCACACAGAATCACAGCGGGAGGAAAGCGGCGAGTGAGTGAGATTTTGTTTTTGTTGCTCTTTCACGCCTCGCTGCGCTGGAGCGCATCCGCTTGTGGGCGCAAGAGCGCGGCTACGAGCTGCCGGCGCAGCCAGAGGACGAGAGCTGCGCCGTGCGGTGGCTGTGCTTCGCTGCGTTGCTGTGCGAGTCCATAATAAATAAATAAAACGGACACACCAAAGGGAGAAACACAGGGTCCCCGCCGCGACAAGCCTTTTTTTTTGCTTCGTTCCACGAGGCGAAACGAACTCTTTGCCGGCGCGCGCGAGAAGCACGGGACGAACCGGAGTTGCGAGTTCGTCATGTCGGACCGCATGCTGCTCAAGGAGAAGCAGCGTTTGCAGCAGCGCGAAAAGGAGCTAGAGAGGAGGGAGGCGGCGGTGACAGGCCGAGTCGATCAGCTCGACAACGAGCTCAAGGCAAAGTCGGAGAAGCTCGAGCAGGCGCATGGTGGTGTGGACTCCCGCCGGCCCGCTCAGCGATCCCGGCCTCGACCTCACCTTTTAGCATTCGCCAGACCCTGTTAACTTCCTCCCATTCCCCTCGCCTTGCATAGACGGCGGCGCTGCTGCGCCGAGCATCGGAGGAGCGGGAGGCGGCGCTGCGCGAGGCATGCACTGCCGCCGCCACGCTGGTCTCCAGCATAGGAATCCTGCACCGCCCAGATCGTCCGGGCTGCTCGGTAGGCGCAAAGGCTAAAGGCGGCGGCGGCCGGAGCCGCCGACGCGTCAGCCCTCAAGCAGGCGGCAGAGGAGGCTGGCAGCGCGCGCATTGAGCTCGCCACGGCGGCAGAGAACTTGGAGCGGTCGGACCTCGCGCTCCGAGAGAGCCAGGCGGCGCTCTCGTCCCTAAGGCAGCGCTCTCCCCGCTGCCCGCACACACACTGGGTCTTGCAATCGGCACCGGCACCGCTCCGCACCACAAATTCCTTTGCCCGCACTAGCTTGTTCACTCCTTGCCTGACCTATCTCACAGGGGCGAAGTCGCGGCGGCCAAGGTGATGGTTATACGCTAGCGCGCCTACCGCCGCTGCCCCTTTGCCCTCACCGCCGTTACGTCAACGCTACAGGCGGCACTGGACAAGGAACAGCGGGCAGCGGCGGAGCTCGAGGCGCGACACACCTCGGCGAGGGCCGCAGAGGCGGCGATGAAGGAGGTGCTGGCCCATGCGCTGGCGCGGTTCCTGCGGCTCCTCGCTCGGCTCAGGGAGGCGCGGGAGGCGGCAGCGGCGGCGGAAAGGGCGGCGCAAGAGCTGCGCGAGCTACGCGACAAGGACCAGGCGCCTATCACCGTTCGCCCGACTCGATCCATGCCCCAAAGCCCTCATGCGCGAGAGGCTCTCACGAGCTGACCCACTCGACGGGTGGGCGGACCAGGCGCGCGCCGCAGCCCTTCGGCGATCAATGGTGAGGCTGGAAGCGGAGTGTCGCGCAGAGGGCAAAGCAAAGGAGGCACTCGACGCGCAGGTCGCTGATTTGGAGGAGGAGTGCCGCGCCAAGGCTCGCGCTCTCACTGCGCTCGAGCAGGTGCGCACTGTCCCGCTTATCTCATTGGTGCTGCTATGTGATGCTGGAGCGCCCGGGAGCCTTCACGGCAGTGGCTTGCCAGCGCAGGCGCATCGGGCCGGAGCGGCATCGCTCGAGGCACTCGAGGCGGAGTTCGCTGCCGCGAAGCAGGAGGTCGAGGCCGCGAGCCGCGGTGCCGAGGCGCTGCGGAGCGAGCTCGATGCCTGCCGTGCGGAGCTCGACCGGCACCGCGCGGCAATCTCCAGATTGAGGGCGAGCCTCGACGAGCGGCAGAGGTGATGCCCTCTCCTGCCCCTGTCGCGACCACCACGACCGGCACCGCTAGAGACGCATTTCCCGCTGCCGATCCGAAGGTGGATCGAGGCGCTTGAGACGAGCACTCGCACGTACAAGAAGCGCAACGCCGAGCTCTGGGCGCAGCTTCGCGGCCTCCCCGTCCATGGCGACGACCAGTCGGGCTTTGTGGCGGTGGCGGATGAAGCACCGAGCCCAAATCCAACAGGCGAGGCGGGGGTGGAAGGGAGCGGCAAGCTGGGCGGAAAGGGGGAGGTCAAGGAGGAGGAGGAGGAGGAGGAGGAGGAGGAGGCCGGTCCAGCTTTGCACCCCGCGCCCAAGGGCGCCGCGCTTGCGGCCCGGCGAGGGAAGCCGCGCTCAGCGGCGCCTTGCGTGGAGCTCGAGTGGCAGGACGCATATGTGAGCACCTCCCTTGAGAGCCGTCGCTCTGGATAGGCCCTCCGCGTCGAGCTCGAGCAGAAGAAGGCCCAGGTGAAGAGAGCACTGGGAGCCAGCAATGGCCGTGGCGAGCGCGCATACACGCACACGCGCGAATGGCTTTGTCGGGACAAGGACACTCTCTTCGACTAGTTAGCTCACCCCATCTTCTGCCCCGTGGCACGGCAGGTCAAAGACATGGAGGCGGAGATCCGGATGCTGCGGGATATGGTCAAGGCGCGGGAGAGCGACGCGCGCGCGATGGAGGTGAAGAATGAGCAGCTCCGGCGCAAGCTGGGCCAAGCTAAGTGAGACGGTGTCTACGACCGTTGAGCGTTGTGTCGTGTCGGAAAGTTCGCCGGACGCGTGTTTGAGTGAGAAGGCTCTGAGAGGCGACCCAGGCGTGTGCAAGAGTATACCGCAATACCGGTCCAGTGCAGTGTGTGCACAGTGCAGCGGAGCTACGGAGGCTGTCCGTTGTCGTGTTGGACCCCTCACAAAGTTCTCGTCTTCGTACGCATCGTGGACACCACACCAGGGTAAGGTAAGGTAAGGTAAATTTCTCCACACACACAAGTGGTGGGGCAAGGGGGGGGCACACCACTACTCGCCAGGTTTATTCATGTGTGTGTATATATGTATGTAATGTGTATGTAACGAAGCCGTTGCCTCGCGGCCGGCCACCAGAGGAGTGGTCGCCGTCACGTCGTCCTCTGGCAAATCGCCCCTCTCCACCAGGCGTAGAAGGTCAGGGTATGCCCTCGACCTCAGCGACGACGGCGACAAGAGACCTGTCTGGTATAGCCCCAGCCGACTCCGCGTGACCCCTCGAGGGATCTCGAGTCCCTCTTGCTCGGGAGTTCACACCGAGCAGCTGGGAGTGGCTGCGGCTATAGCGATCTATAGCAGACAGGACCTGCGCCGCCGGTCGAGGTCGCGAGGATCGCGGACGCCAGCGAGGGCTCCGTACCTATGTGTGTGCATATGCACTACCCTCCCTCGTCCGCCTCGTCCGCCTCGTCCGCCTCGAGGGCCGCTGCCCTCGCGCTGCTGACGGTCTGTCGGTGTGACGAGCTGCCGCCGATCCGCGGCATGCGCGACGTCAAGCCCTCAGACACATCGGCGAGTGAGTTTGAGGTGTGCTCGCACCGCACAGGCCACAGCGACCAGCTGTGTGCTTCGGCGGCCGCACGGATCACTAAGCGCGCTCGCCTCCTGTCGTCGTGAGGTGTGGATGCTCGAGTCCATCGAGGAGCAGTGGATCGCGCCGTGCCGCGCGTACGTCGGCGAGCAGCTCATCGGGCTCTGCATGTTTGGGCCCGCGCTGCTCATGGGCCTCTGCATCGTGCTCCCCGTCCTGTTTCTCTCCATGCGAGAGCAGTCGGCCGCCGCGCAGGCGCGAGATTAGCCGAGATTTGCCGCCGGTACCGCGCAAGCGCATGACACCGCACTCCCGCCGGCACCCGTCTCTCACGCTGCCGCCGCCTCCGCCTCCACCGCCGCCGCCGCCGCCTCCGCCGCCGCCGCCGCAATCGCCACCGCCGCTGTCCTTACCTGGCGCTGCGTAGCTTGCCGCTGATGACAGCGGTGGCCCGCACGCATCCGCCGCCGCCGCTGCTGTAGCCACCAGCCTCGCCGCCGCCGACCTCTCTGCCGCGCCTCCCTTGCTAAGCCCGGTCCGTCCCTCCCGCCCTCTGCAGGCCAAAAAGAAAAAGTAGAGCCGCCGCCGCGGCGAGTGCTGCACGCCGTGGCCTCCCGCCACCCAGAGCGGCCCGGACGCCGTCAGTACTCGCGACACACGCGAGTCGTGTACGGCTCACTTGTACTACAGTACAGGACCGGGGCGGACAACCGTCAACCGGCACAACTCAACCGTACCATTGTACTACGGCGCGCAGGCGCTTCGGTCTCGCTGGCACGTGCCACCGCTCATTCATGGCAACCTTTTTGTATCATGTATATTTGCCCCTGCGCCTGCGCCCTGGCGCCTGTGGGGTGGGTCGCTTTCCAAACCGACCCAAGCGAGAGAGCCGAGACCCCTGCAGACACACCGAGAATAGAGGGGGCGCCCGAGCCCCGAGCCACGTTGGCACACGCTCGACCGAAACGGTGCGCCCCCACCGTCAGACCTCAGAGAGAGAACAGAATAACCGAACACCGCCGGACGACCCTCATCCGGACTGACCGTCCTGCAGACGGACTGACCCATGCAGGGACCGCGAAGCCACACCGACGCGACACCCGCCGAGGCGCGCCGCCGCGGCCACCGAACGCCGTGTCTGCCGCGCGCCCGTGGGCACCAGGCACCAGAGACCAGAGAGACCAGAGACCAGAGAGACCCGACTCAGACGATGTTGTCGAGGTCGTAGGTCGTGAAACGGAACGGCACCTCGCTCTCCTGCAGCGCCTCCTCGATGGCCTGTGGGGAAATCGGGCGAGAGAGATCGGCACGATCGCAATCTCAGCCCTCCTCCGCCCGCTCTCGCCGCGCCCTCGCCGCGCCCTCGCCGCGCTCTCGCCGCGCTCTCGCCGCGCTCTCGCCGGCATCTCGCCGGCATCTCGCCGCGATCTCGCCGCGATCTCGCCGGCATCTCGCCGGCATCTCGGCGGCATCTGCCTGGTAGGTTGGGCGGCTCTCCTTCCCCTCCAGGAGCGGCTCCCACCTCTCGCTCTCCGGCGCAAAGTAGCACGCCTACTCCACCGCCAAGCTCAGGCGCCGTTCACGGAGCCCACCGTCGAGGGCCGTGCCGCCAATCTCGGCCAATCTCGGGTGATCTCGGGCGAGCTCGGGCGAGCTCGGGCGAGCTCGGGTCGTCTAAGCGGCGCGCCGTCCAGCTGAGCGGGTAGCTGAGCTGCAGGCAGTCTAGGAAGTGTCTAGGAAGTGTCTAGGAAGTGCCGTCCAGCCGAGCGGGTAGCTGAGCTGCAGGCAGATGCGCGAGCCGCGGCAGACGTACTCACTCAGCGTGTACACGTCCACAAAGCCGAGCGCGGACAGCTCCTACACAGAAAGAAACCGTGCGTTGGATGGGAGCAGATAGCTGGGCTTTCCACCGCACTCCGAGCCCGGGACGCTCCTTTTGCAGCGCCGCCTTGCCGCCGAGCGCGTTGCCCAGCGCGCCGAGCAGACCGCCCTTGCGAGAGAGCGCGTCAAAGGGGTCGTCGCCCTCGCGCCACTGCGGGTTGACCATGAGCAGCGGCCGCGCACCGCACTCGCTGCAAAGCTTGCGGATCGTGGCGAGCCGGTCCGGCGTCGGCTGGACGAGGCCAACGCAGTCGTCCTCCGGCTGCGAGGACTGCGCGAACCAGACGCTCTCGCCGTCGACGCCCGACACGTCCAGCCGCTGCTCGTTGAGCGACGGAGGCACGCCGGCCACCTCCGTGGAGAGGCGGCGCAGCAGGTCGCGGGTGAGTGGTGAGCAGGCCGCGAAGAGCTGCATAATGCCGCCCTCCCACGATTCGTCGGGCGGACTCAGCCCATCGCCGCGCGGCAGGAAGAGGCGCAGCGTGTGGCGGTTGACGCCATCGGCACGGGCGCGGCCCACAGCGGCCGCAGCCTGCGCGAGCATCTCCTCGCGGTTCGGAGGCGGGCGGATCGCAGTACCGACCGTGCCCGGAGTGACGAGCGCCGCACAGGGCGCGGCGAATAGGAGAATCGCAGCGGTGGTCATGCCTGGAGAGACGAGAACGTCGGGAAGGTGCCGTTCGGTGCGCGATATTCTTCAGGTGAGCGGCAGAAAAAAAAATTTGCCGGCCAAGGAATGCCGTGCCAACGCTACTCGTAGCTACAGCCGGAAAACTGTAGCCGTCGCCATCCATCATCATCGCACGACCCATCAGCAGCGTCGCCTACGCGCACGGCTTCCTCTCCTCGGCGCAGTCGTCAAAGGGCCGCTTCCTCCGCGAGCGCTTGGCGCGGCACGGCATCGATCTCGAGCTGCTCACCCTGAACGGCGGGGCGGGTCCGGCGGCCCTCACGCCGCAGTCGGCCCTCGACGCGCTGCAGGCGCACTGGCAGCGGGCAGGCGGCGTTCCGCTCACGCTGGTCGGCTCGAGCTTCGGCGGCTGGGCGGCGGCGCGCTATGCGGAGCTTCATCCCGGGAGGGTGCGGCGGCTGCTGCTGCTGAACCCAGGCTTCGAACTGGGGAGGAGGTGGGAGTGCATCGTTGGGACCGCCGCGCTCGAGGCGTGGCGGCGCGACGGCGCTCGGACCTTTGCAATGCCGTCCACCGGCGAGCCTTGCCAGGTGCCGAGGGAGGGAGTGCGCGGCTCACCAGCTCACCACGCTCCTCCGCCACGAATGCATCCGACCTTGGACCTCCGCCCTCCTACGCCTACCGCTCTCCAGCCGCCGCTCTCCAGCCGCATGCGCGCCCTCCCCCTCTCTCCCCCCACGCCTCTCCACGCCCGCCGGCAGGTGCCCTGGTCCTTTGTGGAGCAGACCCGGGCCGAGGCGGGCACGCCCGCGGTGAGCACGGAGGCCGTTGTGCTGCACGGCCGTCGCGACGAGGTGGTGCCGCCCTCGCTGAGCGAGGCCTTTGTACACGCCAGCCCTCTGGCCAGGCTCGTCCTCCTCGACGACGACCACGCGCTCACGGCGCCGCCGAGCCTGGAGCGGATCGCGCGGGAGGCGCTGGCGGCGTGTGGCGGCGAGGGAGGCTCGCCGCGAGAGGGAGGCCCGCCGGCGCCTTCCTCCTGGGACTAGTGGATGATCGCAAATTGGAGGTAGACGAGTAAGAACGTGCCGCGCAGAGCGTCTCGGTTCGTCGTCCCGCGCGGCGCCGGCCCGTGGGGCTCCAGAAGGGCCGGAATCCTCGCCGCTGGTGGCGTGTCGCAGTCTCGGCACACCCGTGATGATGTGCTCTGTGATGTATGACTTCTAGCTGGAAACGGTCTAGCTGGAGCGTGCGCGGGCCGCGGCCCCGCGGGGACACCAGCGCGTTATGGGTGGACGCTAGACAGGAGGTGAAGAAGATCCAATCCCCCCACCCACACTTTCCCAAAATCCTCTTCATCGTTGTAGGATGACACGGCGTGCCTGTTGGTCCTCCTCTTGGTCCTCTCACTCCTCAATGGAGGCGCCTGCCCTCCCACGGCCGACCGCGGCCTATTTGCGGCAGAAGAGGGAGGAGCACCGCGGAGCGGCGCCGCAGCAGGCGGTGATGCAACGCAATGGCTACGACCCGAACCCGGAGCCGATCAAAAAGTTCGGCGACCTCCACCTCGACGAACTAGACGACGAGAAATTCCTCGCCAACGGCAAGGACGCCGGCTGGTTGAACGATCTCATCTCGTACCCACGCGACCTCTGCTACGCCTTTTGCTACCCGTGCCCCATGTGCTGCCCGACGCGCAACCTCGCCTGCTCTCTCGCCTTCAATATGTGCTGCGGCGTTCAGGCCTGCAGCGACGTCGGGTGGAGGTTCATGTGGCATCCGGAGTTCTGCCCGCTCGGATGCTGCACGCCCTGCCTCCCCTGCACTGGCCTCGGGGAGAACGGCGATCAGGGTGTCTGCGACGTGGCTTGCATCTGCTGCAATGTGAGCCCGATGGCACGCCAACAGAGCTTCACATACTGGCTCCAGCGGGGTGCGTCCGCTGGCTCGGAGGATTCGGCGGCAGGGTGCTGCGCCAAGTTCTTCCGGCCAAAGCCGGTCCCATATCCCTGGCCGCACCTTCCACCAGACAGGTGGCCGCCTCAGTACTCGGAGTCGTCGCCCTGCTCCATGCAGCTCTTTAGCTGCTGTTGCCAGCTCTTCCCGCTCCCCTTTGGAGACAAGTACGACAATGTCGCTCAGTGGCAGCCCCCGTACGGCGGAGGCTTCCCGTGCAGCTGCGCCAAAGAGTACGATCCGAACGGCCTCGCTTCGACTGCGGAGGTGCGCCGGCCGGGCGGCAGCCACACCGCTCCGAGCTGTCACCCTTGGCTCACCATCCTCTGTTGCCAGTCGCTTGGGCGTGGACAGGGGTCCGATCTTGGAACTAAGGTTGCCTACTGCTAACTACTACCGCGTGCTCCCCCTCCCCCACAGGCGCTCGCAGACGTTGCAACCTCGATCCCATGCCTGTTTCGCTGCTGCGTCACGTACCAGCAGGGCTGCTGCGGCCTCTTCGGCGGCCGCACCGGCTTCGCGCCCAATACCACGTACATGCCGGCGAACATGGCGGTCGGGGAGTCGGACCAGCAGATGAACGACGCCCGGGACTGCGGAGGCTACTGGGCGTTCCCAAAGTCCTTCACGAACTGCAACGGCGAGACCGTCTGCGGCAAGCTGCCGACGCCGCCAAACACGCGCTTCAAGGACAAGGACGGCAACGAGTTCGCGCCGAACACCAACGTCGCGCCGGGAGCGCCGGGTTCCAAGGTGATCTTCTGGGCGCACGGCTCCGCCTGGTTCGCCGGCCAGTCGGCCGACTTCCTCTACTTTTTCGGGCTGTTCCTGTCGGAGCAGACCGGCCAGACCGTCCTCATCGGCGAGTACCCGCTCGCCTCCGAGCCTCGCTTCTGCAGCAAGCAGGGCGGCTTCTTCTTTGCCGAGGCACAGCCCTCGCCGCACTCGACACCCCCCACCCTCGCCGCGGCGTTGGACCATGCGCACAGTAATTGATGCCCGACCATGGATCATCCCCGCAGGCGCTCAACCGTTGGGTCCGCACCTACGTGAAGCTCGTCGAGGCGTCTCGCTCTTCACAGCAGCTGAGCTTGGCCGAGCGCTGTGAACGGCGTCTCGTCACACGCGCCGCCCTTGTGAGTAGCTCTACGGCGCCGAAAACGTGGTGGTGGCGGGCGACTCGGCGGGCGCTGGCTTGGCCCTCGCCACCCTCCTCGACGTCCGTTGCTACCTCAAGCCCTCTTTCCCGGGCATCGAGCTCCCGGACTACCTCATCCCTGGCATGCCAGCAGGCCACCTCATCACCCTCTTAGACCCCCCCGCCC